ATATAAAGTATCTGTGCTTCTTTCTCCACAGAAAGAAAACAGCTTCCCTGAACGCTAAATCCAGGTGTTTCTTGTGTACATTACAGTGAAGTCTACCAAACACACCTTTATAGTTGGTGATAAAAAGGAAGAAAATCCCTATCCTGATCTGAGTAGTCAAAGTACAGTCACTTGATGTTAGCAAAGGCATTTACCCTAAATTCAAAGGCACCTAATTAAGTTGTAAAAGCTAAAGGTGACAGCACATACTACCCCCAAGTTCACAAAACAACGAGCAACACTTAAAAGCTCAATGAAACTATCTGAAATGACAGTATTCACTGCAAAAAAAGTGGAAAGACTTTCTCTGCTCGCGTTCCAGAAATGCTTCCTTTCTGCCACGAAGTCGCCCACAAATCAATCCCCGTCGTGTCGGCGCGCAGTACAACTGCTAGGTGATAAACGGGACGGTGACTTGTCCACAGAATCTGTGGGATTCCTGAAGGCCAGTGGTCATGCTGTGAGCAAGCCAGATAAGGGCAGAAGGGCGCCAGACCTAGATGAAAGGGCAGAAGGGCGCCAGGCCTAGCTGAAAGGGTGGAAGGACTGCTGACTAAGAGATAAGGAGATCTTGCGGAGAGTCAGATAAGGAGGCAAAGAGTTGAGACAAACAAGTAGAGGGGGACGGTCGTTAAATGTGAGGACACGTGGGCACTGTTAGTTAGTCTCTGTTAGTTAGCCTATCACACTGTATAGTTAGACGCATGGACGCGGGGTCTTGACCAATCATTGTAAAGAAGCGCTCGCATGTACGGGGAAATCTTGCATAGAATTTCGTTGACGCAAATAAGAGCTAACCTATCCTGAGCTCAAGCTTTGCAATATGCATGAACCTAATTAAGTTGTGTATAAGAGTGCACACTGAATGTTCAATAAACGAGTCTTGTCGATGACCATATGGTGTCGCAGTCTCCCTTTCTCCTACAAGAATCCAGTCAACCCAAGTTCCCGGAACGCAGGGGACCGTCAGGAAACATTACCAGAGCGGGCAGTTCTCGGGGCGTTACCGACCTACCTCTGCAGACGGTGCCGTTGCCCACGTAGCCGGGCTTGCAGGTGCAGCTGTGGCCCCGGACGGTGTTGGTGCAGATAGCGTTGTCGTCGCAGCTCTGCTCGCCGCTGCCACACTCGTCGTGCTCTACAGGATTAAGAAAAGGCAGCCAGGTGAGCCCCAAGGCAAGGCAGCGCCGGGCGGCTGCGACGGCTCCACGCGGAGCTGGGCAGAGGAGGCAGCCGTGGGGCTGCTCCCATTCCAAGAGCCAGAGCACGCGGTGACAGGAGCCAAAAGCAGGGAAAAACAGTGGGGAGGAGGCTACAGCAAAAAGCCCACGAAGGAGCACCACGGAGGAAAACCTGCTATGAAGACTAACCTTCACATGGGCCGTTAGCAACAGTAATGAACATGGACACAATGTGAACACCAGAGAGGGCACCCAAAAACATACCCTTTAAAGAAACCACAACTCGGCTGTTACAGCCACTTGCTCAAACACACGCTCAGCTGAATCTCTAACAGCATTTTATGTTTTTAGTGCACCATTCATACCATAGGACCCCAAAGAGCCTTCCAGGCAAATGGGCCATGCTTTGCTTTTGTGCAGTGATTCCAACTACTGCCACAGAGTCGGATTTGCTGCCCTTGACTCTTCTGCAACGTTTTGCTCTAGTGAAGCATCAGTTAAAAGGTGGTGAACTCTGAAGTGTTTCCCTTCTTCTTGCAATTACTAGGAGCTGCAAAAGTGAAACCTGCCTTTATTTTCCCCACACACACACTTTGAATTTATATTTGTTGGTATGCAAGATGCTGCTGTCTCAAGGAGGATGAAGGGAACCTCCTCTGCAGGAGGAATCCCCAAATCCCGTAGCAGCTGCAACAACAGGAATTGCGGAAGGCGTTTTCCCTAGTGCAGATGTGCCTATCGATGATGTTGCTACACTCCTAATAAGGATGAGAAAGCATTGATTTTCTGTCAGGCTACAGAAATCTTTCATTGCAAATGGAAAAATCCTCAAGACGCCGTCAGCAGTGAGTTCCTTTGGATTCCTTCTCCCTCACAAGGGATCGCCCATTGGACCACTTGGTGGTCATGATATTTGGGAAGCGGGGGTAGGAATTAGGCATATGTTTTGTTTAAACTCGAAAGGAGATTGTGAAAAGACGAGTTTTTTCAGTTCAAAGCACTGGAATCTCTACATTGAGCAGGCAGAAACACTGTCTAGCCGGAGAGCAACCAGAGACTGACATACAAAACTACTGGCAGACAACTAAAATGGACAGTATCATAGGATGCAACTCCCTGAAGCAACACTGATCCCCCTAACTCTCCTTGCCACCCCATTTCAAGAAGCAGGTATGATTTTCAAGGAGCACTCAAAGTGCAACACCACGCTTTCCCCACAGACAAGTTGGTTTATGCAGCCCCTGAATGTTATTTTCAAAATCTAGTGTTTCTTTCCTGCAGGAAAGCTGGTTGTTGCCACCTATCTCCATGCTTTGTTTAGGTGAAAACCCAGAGAAAACATCAGTTCTGCTGCGCCTTTGTTTTCCTCTGTAATAAAATGTGGGCATTTTGTAACATCTTTTAGTATTTAGCGCTACTCTGAAATCCTCACATTTCAAAATTATATTAAGGTAAAGAACATCTATCTTCTGCTGTGGAAAAATGAAAACTCTAATATTAAACTGCCACTTTACATTTTCCTTAATTTTTTTTCTTGCAAACAGAGAAAATGGATAAGCAAGCAGCGAGCATGGATTTCATCTCATAAGAGCCCCATTTCATCTTGGAAGGCTTGGATCATCGTGCTTGCTTCCCACCCCAAGTTCCAACCAAACCCAGCAAATGATGCATTTATACCTAGTATTTTTCCTCTCTGCCTTCTAGAGTTTTTCAGAGTGCTCTCAAACTTCTCCAGTGTCCTCGAGAACATCACGTTGTCCGAGTTCAGCCCTGAACCGAGATGGTTTGGGAAGCAATTCCTACCAAGCTTCTCAGCCTTTACCCCCCAGAAGCCCTGGAAAAGCCACTGATAAGAAACTGGTCTTTTTTAAAAGCAAACACACCCCTCAGTGGCCTTTGCTTTCAAACTACGGTTCTGCTGCAAAAACATGTATCAGCAGTGGGTGCACCCTACGCATGCACTAAGCCAGGCTTCAATTTGGAAGAACTAAAGGCCTTTAAAGCAAAACCCCTCCAGAAAAGGGGGGCCAAAGCCCACCCTGGAAAAAGCCGCTTGCTTCAGGACACCAAAACCGCATGAATTTGAACAGAAGTCCCCTCCACAAGGGCTGTGGTGCTGGGGACACTGATGTTTCTACCCTATTACAGTTCCATGATGATGCACCCGGAGCTTAACTATTGCAGCTCGTTCTACTACATTTGCAGACAAGCTAACAACAGCAAGGCCGCCTTGCTGATTAGGGTGCTCACAAGCTATCCAACAGGGTGCTTCCATGTTACACAGCCTCACAGAGCTAAAAATCACATAAAAAGACAATTAGCCAGAAAACAGTTTCAAGGAGGCGGTTCGTTGCATACCTGCCAAATTGCAGAAGAACACTTTATACTACAGGAATAAAAAGGGGGGAGGGCAAAAGACACAAGGCAAAAACACAACCTGGTGCAATCCGCCAGGCAGCACAACTCACCTTTGCTTCTGCCAGGGGAGAAGTCACTCTTAAAAGCCAAGCGGCTCTTTACAGCTCTGCAAGCTGCACCTGCAGCAAGAGCAGGATAATTGATCCTGATGCACTTCACCTGAAAAGCGATGTAAACTTTAACCAGACCTTTGGCTTTCTTCAAAACAGAGGCAGCTCCTTCCTGCTAACGAACTTGAGCACCTGCAGGTGACAACAATTTGTGCTCCTGCCTACCTCAAACCAGCAACATCCCAGCTGCTCCATCCTGAACCCATAACCTGGGAGCAGATCACAGCGGGTGAAAGGGACCCCAAATGCAGCAGCTCCAAGCCCCCAAATTTCTGTCACATCTTTCCCCATTTGGGAGTTAAACTGAGCTGGAAGCCCCCAGCAGAAGTGGCGCAAGGGGGTTCTGCACAAGGATTTTATCTACCTGAACCAGCACTATGCATTAATTCACACTGTATTGCAGAAGCATAATACAAACAACCACACAAATAGAATTTGGAGCAATGTTTGCAAAGTAAAGAGGATTTGCCATGTATTTATAAAGACAGATTAAAGGACCGTACTTCTCCCCCTCTTCTGGATGTTCGTGAAATAGAGTGTCTGTAAAAGCTTCCAGATAGTTCTGGGGATTAGAACTAGGAGAAATGTCATTCCAAAAAAAAAAAAAAAAACACCAAAAAAAGCAACCCCACCACCACACACAAAGACCCCCCAATATTCTTAAAAGCTGTAGGTTACAAATATCTACATTTTAAAATGAATATTTACATACACACTTTTTCTATCCATGATAGCAGAGCAAGGTAGTCTATGCTTATATTCTATGTACTTCTTATTTTAAGCACATTCTTCAGCAACATTTCAGAATTTCTAGGGCATTTCGGCTCTTCTATTTGGGTTGCTAGGATTACACTTTGTCTAAAACATATAATAAAACATTCGAACCTCAGATGGAACACAGAGCAAGCAACACTAAAGTGAAGAACCATTTGTCCAAACTTCAAAATACAAAATTGGAATATGAGGTTGGTTCTCCCCCTGTACAACTCAATAGTCTGTAATGAATTTCAGGTTTATAACGCTAAAAAGCACTTTTGATACAGTTTGGTTTTAGTAGGTAAATATTTAGTAGGCAAAATTCATTCATTGGTTAATTAGATATCTGGCAACACTTGAGCAACAGCCTTTGGAAGCTTGCACAGCAGAAAGTTTTCTCCAAGTACTTTCTAAAATCTTATTAAAAAGGACAAAGCAATAACTTGTCGGATGGCATTAGGCTTCAAATGTCTCTTTAATAATTAAGGCCTTAAAAGTCTATTTTGAGAGATGAAAAATTTGAATTTAGGAAGAATTTTGGAATTAGTGGATTTCAGCATTATTTTAAACACACATTAAGAACTTCCTCCCGCAGAACCGGGGCGGTTAGAAACATGCTGCACTCATCAAACAAGGCACATACAGGAAAAATGCAGCACGAAGATGTTAAGCCAGTGAAAGAAAGACAGCAGCTAATTGCGAGTCTGGACAACCCTGAGAATTGCATTTTTCCCACTCATGAGAATTAGAGAAACAAACCCACATTCATCCATGCCTGCTGGGAGCTTCATTTATGCAAGCTCACCCTGCCCAATCCTGCAAGGGAACAAGGCAAAAGAGCGGGACACAGAGGAGCAAAGCCCCACTTCTTCCTGCAAAACAGCAGCACAGTGACTTTATCCTTCAGAGAAGCTGAAAAGATTAAGAAACAGGAGATTCACAAGGTCCACAGATTTTAGTAAGAAACTGAAATCCTATTGTAACATATAACACATAAGACAATGAACAGATTCTGGTGTTAAACACCAAATTATTTAGACCATTTTCCGAAAGAGTAGGTATATGCTGCTCCTTGCTGATTACTAAGAAACAGCAGGTTTAATTTGATAACATTCTGATTGTGCATGTATTTGCCTAACTGAAAATAATCTCTGCAATCTTCCCTTTTGAATAACAAACAGATATTTCTTTCGGTTTCCTGGATCCAAAAGGGCACTTGCCTATTTACAACTGAGTTTGCAAAAGATATGGCTGATGTAATCCTTGTTTGTTGTTTTTATTTTTTTAAAACATATTGTAATAAACTAGTCTGCCTAGATGTAGAATTGCCTGCAAACACATGCAATGAAATAGTTAGATTCCTATTCCTAAACTGCCACTTAGAGAGAGAATCACCAAGATCAGTCTGACAAGTCCCCTGTTCCTCAACAATTTCAGTTATTAGCTGTAGTTAAATCTTTTGCTCCACAGTGAAATCTCTGTAGTTGCCTACAAAAAAAAGGTGAACAAAAAGCAGTGTAATCTTAATTAGGAACTCGATTTTAAGATGTCTAGTGTAACCCAGAAAGCTCTAGCAGAAAATGGACTAAAACTCGTCACTATGCAAACACGGGCAATAAGTTCCTCTAAGCTGACACGATTTGCAAGTTCAGCACCTGACTTGATGGTTGTAC